GTTCTACCTCAAAAAGAAATTAGCATTCGTGATCCCAGGTGTTTTCAATATTTATTTTTTTACCGCATCCAAAACAGTCATAAGTTTGAATCGTACAACATTTTTGTTGATGTTCAAGAAATTCATCAATATTAATGGGTAGTTTGCAATAATAGCAATATTCTTTACTTTTCGCTTCTGCCATTTTTTTTTTTAATTAATTGCTAAAAGAGTATTAATACATAATTAATATAATAAAACACATTTAATATTAAAAATATATATATAATTTATAAATTATGTGAATAAAGTTTTGAATTAAAAAAAGTCAATATTGTCTATTTCTATGTCTTCTACATCATCATCATCATCATCATCATCATCATCATCATCATCATCATCATCATCATTAGACTGATGAGACGATAGATTTGCTACTTATTTTTTCGGTAAACATAGTTTAGATATTTTTGCGTAAAGTTGCTAAACCAAATTATTTTTACACTAATTAGTATGCCAGCTTTCACCTTAGCTTGGTTATTTTAAATTTAATATTTTTTATTTAATATTGTCCCTATAAAACGGTTTTTTTCGTAACAATTCTATTACCGAGGTGAATGGTATTAAAATCAAAGTGAATTAGAGTGAATTTAGTGAAATAATAATGATATCCTGAAGTATTTCACAGTCACTCATGATTCATCGCATTTCATCTGTACAAATATCCAAAATTTTAGGAATTTAAGAAAAAAAACGGCGCTTTAAAAACATCTCACTCTTAATGTAAATTTGCGGTAGATTATTCGTTAAAACCTTTTTTTAAACTGTGTTTTTAAAATTGATTTTAAATTACTATTTTATCATTTTTTTACTATAGCTTTTACAAATTCGCCCCAACTAAACATTTTCTTATAAAACTTTGAAGCCTCAATAATAATTTAAAAAGTTTTTTTCGATTCATCTTCGGAAACTTGTTTTAATTCATCACTTTCATTTTCAAAATTTCATTTTCAAAATAGATTTGCTACTAATTTGTAGCAATTCTACACAAGTCAAAAAATAAAACTCTATTTTGTAAAGGGATGCAAATAGTTATCTTAATTCACGATTTCTATTTAGCTACAGTGATAGTAAATATATTATTTAACATTTATTTCAAAAAAAGTACGCGTTTCACTTTTGTAATCTTCAATAGGAGCATTCTCATTATTAACTTGATAATAGAAATGCTACGTAAATGTAACATTTCTATTTTTGCAAAAATTTTATAATGAAACCGTAAATGGTATAGTGTAAATTTCTTTTTATAAAATCGTATATAGGATATAAAGTTACTGTTTCCCCTATTTAAGAATAAAATAAGTTGTTTCTATTATTTCACTCAATATACTCTAAATAGGGTGTTTAATAAAAGTCTCACTGGGCGTGTCTATGATAGAATTGCGACGTTTTGTTAAAGAACATTATATACATTTTTACGTTCTAATGCAACCATAAACTAATTTTTGTGTACTGTTTTTACAAGATCTTCTCTTAGCAAGCAACGATATCTTAATATTAGTCTTTGTGATTCTCCAGCCACCAGGGGCCGGCGCAAGACCCATGCAAAATATACAATCGCACGGAGCACCGGCGTTGTTGGGTGCCGTCAAAACAATTCAATTTCAACATTCGTTAATTACTTGTTGAGAAAGGACCAGTACAGATTAAAAACCTTAATTTTCCTATTGACAGTATACTGTCAATATAGCTATAGCTCAGGCAGTCGGTTCACAATGTTTCTTAACAATGTCGCTTATATGTATGGAGCTGGCATTGAAATCAAGGCTCATAATTCAGAACTCTAACCAGTGCGCATCGTCTTCTATTATTTCTTTGGTTGTTGTCATATTAGAAACAACAAACATAACAAAAAATAAGGGACTGGTATTAAATAATAACTGGATGGAGTACATTTAAAAACATAAAAATTTAACTTTATTGATTATAACATAAAATCTCAGTTTTATAGTTCTTGTGTTTCTCATTGTGCACAGCTTTTTTATTTTTTAGTAAAATGTTATTAAAATAATATAATGTTCATATAATGTCAATTAATTTTTTTCAAATAAGAATCTTTTTTATTTTAAAGTAACAATATAACTTGGTACGAGAATGGGTTTAAACGAGATCTTTATTATAGGCAAAACAAGGCATAAAAAAGTGAATAATAGATTATAGAACACGATAATTCATAATAGTTCTCTATAATATGTATTGGTACTTGGCATTGGCATTTGCAGACAGTCTGAGTTGGTGAAAGGAGATAATAAAGGCGAGACGGGGGCTAAATATATTAGGCAAATTTTATAAAACTAATTTTAGTTGCTTCAATATTTGCTTAACAACATTTCTCTATATTAGAAATATTATTAATTTAGCAGTGGTTTCTCTATAGTTTATCATTTTTACTTACATTTTGTGCTATTTGTTACTATCAAGATAAAACATTTTATGTTAAACATGAAAAAAAAAACTTAAATATTGGGGAATGGGGCAGGTGTGAATACCTAAACCCCTACATTTTTAAAAAAAGAAGGGGATAAAGTTCCCTCTGACTGTTCATTATTTGCCGTTTTGTCGCCAATTTTATAAAGCGCTTTATAAAAGCAGTTTGATAAAGCTAGAATTCACTGCTATGTCTGAAATTCTTGCTTAGGCTTTGAATACTCTAGACTCGGGATTCTAAGCCCAATTCAAAAATCTGCCACAAGAGCTCAACCCCCAAGATTTTTTTTTTTTTTTGAAGCGCTTCAAAAATAATAAAATATAAATATATACATAAACATAAAAAAGAAAATTAACATGAAAATTAGTGTTGTCATGACTTTTAAATAATTCGATTGTCGACTAAACCAACTAATATGTTTTCTAAAGTCGACCAAAACAACCAATATTCTTATAATTTTTGAAATTGAATAAAGTCAATTTTGTCAAAATATGCAAATAAAAAATGAAATTAAATTATTTAAAAATAAGTTTTAATACAACTTTTCATTCATTTTTTATTATTGGATAAACAATATGAGAGAAGAGACGCTTAAACATTTGGAAAATTTTTGCCATGCCCCAATGATTTAGTCTCTCGAATTTCAAATTCAACATTTTCAAACTGGTTTCTATGCAATTAATTGGATTACACAAATTAAATGTTGTTTTTTTATTTAAAAAAATAAATCTAAATCTCTAGATTACAGACCCCAGTTACCCCTAGATTACAGTTTTTGATGTATATAAAAAGTATATGCAATCATATTTACAATGTAAATTTTAGATCAGAACGCTTGGTAATTATTAATCACAAGCATAGTAAACAATTTTTTTTTTGAAAAACGTAACCAATGACGTATAAATAAAACTAGATGCACCACTTTCTGTGTTTCTCAAATAAATAAGTAAATCCAATGTCCGTCATATAGCGGCACAGCAAAAACATAAAACTTTAAATTTTTAAAATCATAATTTTTTTTTAAGCAATCAAATTTCTTACCCTAATTGTACAAAATTTCTTTTTTTAAACTGTTAGCTTATGATCAATAAAGTAATTTTCAATCCATGAAATTTTACTTAATTGAAACCATATTTATATTATTATAAAAATAGATCAATAATAATATGACATAAAAATTTATACACATAATAACATAATACACTTCAACTTTCTTTATAATAAAGTACAAATATATATTTAACTAATTTATACAAAATATTCTCAATAAAAACATCAGAGCGTTACTCCATACACAAATAGAATAAAATTGAATTAATCAATTGATTTATAAACTCTGATCATTGTTAAAATGTTATTTAATTATATTATAATAATTGTTTTAAACAATTTAAACTTAAAGGTTCTACGAGACACTCTATTCGAAGTAACCAACTATGTCCTACAACCAGGGCCGCCGAGAGCCTTAAAGACTCCCGGACAAAATCCATGAATGGCGCCCATATCTTTCAAAATTTATCTATGTTATCAATGAAAGTCTCTTTTTTTTATTTAGGAACCTTTTTTTTTGGCGCCCATCGGGCATCTGCCGCCCGAAACAAACTATCCCTTTTGCTCCCCTTCCTCCTCTTGACTGCCCTGACTACAACTGTGTTCATATAATACAACCAAACAAGTCTACTTAAAAAAAATTTCAAGTTTAAAGTAATTTTATGATGTTCTAGTACTAAACTACATTAATTTGAAAATTCAAAGCATAATAACAATTTAAATACAACGCATCTTTGAAAAAAACTGTTTTTCAAACTCAAAATTTAATTTTTTCAAAATGATAAAAGACTGACGTCTGTGGTTTTACCAGTGTGGTCTTTATATCTATACAGGTTTATCATATACAGGTACATAATATGCATATATGTATATATTCTTGAGAAGGAAAATATGTTTGAACATTATATTAGTCATTAATCAGGACTACAAAACATAATGTTATATTTTGTAGTCCTGATTTTTGAAATTTGGACATGTTAAACATCTACAAGTTTCAAAAAATTTTATATAATATACAATTTATATTTTTGAAGTATAATTTCATATTTCAAAGACTTTTCCAGATTTTTTTCAGAAAAAGATTAGGCAGAGTAAAATTAAACTGAGCTATAATCTTTTAATTAGAAAAAATTAAATAAAATATGAAAATTATATAATATAAATAAAATGAAGTATGAAATTATACTCCAAATTTCTTTGTTAATTTTGATTACATTGAATGTAATCAGGGTTCATTGACTAATTAATGCTGACAACATGGAATGTAATCAAATCCTGCCTGAATCTTATAATCGATTTCAAATCTTGCCAGAATCTGGAATGATTTGAACCTGCATTATCAAAAAGAACTTTGTGGTGTCATACAATATTTGTTATTTCCCCTATTTGGAACCGGTAATCAATTATAACTGGGTGAAGTACAAAAAGTATGCGTATAATTTTTTTTTCAACCTTAGCTATAATAAAAATAATAAATCAATTCTTACTGACATTTTAATGTAATGCATCAAAAAACTATAACTATACATAATCATTCTAAATATCAATAACTAAAGTGATTGCTTCAATGCGTTTTTTTCATAACGGATTTTATTAATTATTTTATGCAATCCGTATTTGTTTAGCAACTCTTTACCATGAGTGGTACGCATTAACTTTTCGTTAACCGAATTTTCAGAAGTAGAAATGTCTCGCATAATCTCTTTTTTAAAAATTACCATTAAAAAACGTTTGTCTTGTGCATCCATTTTTTCACCTCGATTCTTTTTCTCAGAAGTATTTGCAGACTTTGTTATCGACAAAAGTTTGTCGTAGATGGCCTTTGGGCTTTTTCTTTTTAGAATTAAATTATCTTTAATTTTTTCCCGAATATAGGGAATGTAACATCCTTGAAAATCATGATGTTGAAATAAGCGTTTAACTTCTAAAATTTCATCACCATTCCATCCACGTTTCGAGGTACTTTCATCACTGATGCACTCTGTTGGCAACTTTATATTATCTGAAAGATTTTCAGATGTAAAATTATTTGAAAAGTTTTCAGAATTTATAATGCTGGTTTTTAAAAGTTTATTTTCAATTTGATTTGTAAGCTCAGCAGCATTAGTCATTGTTTTGTATAAATTATAATTGCGAGAAGCTGTTTCTCTTTTATGTTTCATATGGTTCGCCAGCCTATCCTTAATACTATCATTTATTTCTTCTGAAGCATAGAAAGTGGTTGTGATACTTTTTCTAATTAAGGTTGCTGAAACTGGACATTGTCTATTTGATTTTGTGGCTTTTTTCCAAAAAGAATCAAGTTGTGTTGAAAATCCATTTAGTGACTTGAAAGACCATGTAACAAATAAACAGCTGCCTGGATCTAATGGATCTTTTTCATTCATTCGGGCAACTTTATCCCTAAAGACATCTACATAACATCTCATTTGAGTATTCATATCAGGTGTAAGGACGACTTGTGCTGAACCGTATTTTCGCTTAGTTTTATGAACTTTTACGTTTACTATAATGTTATTAGTTGTTTTATCAACTTTTGCAGCTTGAAATTCTGAAAGAAGCATATTTATGCAATTCCCAGCACGAGCAGAGTTTCTCAAACAGCATAGACTCGCTAAATAATCTCTAACTGTAACAAAATTTTCTTTGCTAAAATCACTTTCTTCAAATAATATCGAATTGTTCAGTAGTTTTCGTGCTTGCTAAGAGAGCTCAGAATTGTAAACTTTTTGAAATTCATCCGGATCAATCATATTAGCAAGGTCTTTTTCTAAAACATCCCACTCTCGCTCATCCACTTCATCGCAATAGCTTGCACTCCAGTTCTTAATATCTTTCAATAGCCCTTTCATCACATCAAGATTAATAGTGCAAGGGACGAACATCTTTTTTGCCCAAGAAACTGTTTTCTGCCGAATTAAAAATTCTATAAACTTACTCAGTGATCCAAGGTAGGATCTTAATGTTCCTGGTAGGTGACCTTTACCATTTTTACCTTTTCCAGGAGCCAAAGCCCAGGGAAGCCACTTCTCCCTAAGTGTTTGAAGATTAAACAAAGGATCAAGTGATGTTAGAGTAGGACTAATACAATTTAGAATACATTTAACTTGATTTTTACATTGGCGAGCAGGTTTTTCCTTTTTTTTACCACCTTCAAAACCTAATAAATGGATTTCGAAATTATTTAAAACAGCATTAATAGATTCTTCATTGATATCATCAGGTAAATATTCATCATTAGACTCATCGGTTTCATCTAACTCAGCTATATAATCTGAGTCAGTGTCAGTAGAAGAATCAATTTGGGAAATAAACTTTTTATATTTATCAGAAGCAATTTTTGCAGAACCGTTTTCTGAATCGTATGAATCATCAGAAGGCAATGGATTGTTTGAGGTGAAAATTGACATTATTTGTTCTTTATCATTTTCTGAAATAACTATTGCTTTTTTTTTCATTTCATCATACAGCTCAGCATTATTGTAAATACTTGGGTGAGATTTTCGAAAGTGGTCAGATAAGTTTAATATTGTTGATAGGCATCCATCAACTGGGCACGATTTAGTAACACTTTTGCGAGGTCTGATTACATCACAACTTTTTGCGCAACTTTTTCTAAGTCCGAAGAGGGAAACTACTTTTGACGCAGATCTTTTTAATATAATGTGGTCCATTTTTTTAGATTCTTTTATATGTCTCGATAAATTGATAATAACTGACTTACATCCAGGTACAGGGCACGCCTTTTTACCTCGTTTTACTATTGGTTCTTTTGTTCTTTTGATGTTTTTAGGAAAAACTCTTTTACCAGAGAGTAGAAAATCAGATTCATTCAGATATTTTTTCTAAATGTTAAAAAAATATACCAGAATAAAAAATATAATCACCAATTTAAAATATTGTAGAAAAATATTTACTTTTTTAACTTGATGCATATCCATTTCCAAATTAACTTTCTTTTCTTTACCAGAGAATGTAAAATCAGATTCATTTAGATATTTTTTCTAAATGTTAAAGAAATATACCAGAATAAAAAATATAATTACCAATTTAAAATATTGTGGAAAAATATTTACTTTTTTAACTTGATTCATATCCATTTCCAAATTAACTTTCTTTTCTTTACCAGAGAATGTAAAATCAGATTCATTTAGATATTTTTTCTAAATGTTAAAGAAATATACCAGAATAAAAAATATAATCACCAATTTAAAATATTGTGTAAAAATATTTACTTTTTTAACTTGATTCATATCCATTTCCAAATTAACTTTCTTTTCTTTACCAGAGAATGTAAAATCAGATTCATTTAGATATTTTTTCTAAATGTTAAAGAAATATACCAGAATAAAAAATATAATTACCAATTTAAAATATTGTGGAAAAATATTTACTTTTTTAACTTGATTCATATCCATTTCCAAATTAACTTTCTTTTCTTTACCAGAGAATGTAAAATCAGATTCATTTAGATATTTTTTCTAAATGTTAAAGAAATATACCAGAATAAAAAATATAATCACCAATTTAAAATATTGTGTAAAAATATTTACTTTTTTAACTTGATTCATATCCATTTCCAAATTAACTTTCTTTTCTTTACCAGAGAATGTAAAATCAGATTCATTTAGATATTTTTTCTAAATGTTAAAGAAATATACCAGAATAAAAAATATAATTACCAATTTAAAATATTGTGTAAAAATATTTACTTTTTTAACTTGATTCATATCCATTTCCAAATTAACTTTCTTTTCTTTACCAGAGAGTGTAAAATCAGATTCATTTAGATATTTTTTCTAAATGTTAAAGAAATATACCAGAATAAAAAATATAATCACCAATTTAAAATATTGTGGAACAATATTTACTTTTTCAACTTGATGCATATCCATTTCCAAATTAACTTTCTTTTCTTTATCAGAGAATGTAAAATCAGATTCATTTAGATATTTTTTCTAAATGTTAAAGAAATATACCAGAATAAAAAAAAAAATTACCAATTTAAAATATTGTAGAAAAATATTTACTTTTTTAACTTGATGCATATCCATTTCCAAATTAACTTTCTTTTCTTCACCAGAGAGTGTAAAAACAGATTCATTTAGATATTTTTTCTAAATGTTAAAAAACATAAATTTTTATTTTTAATGAATGAGACAAAAGTTAATGTGATTGAAAAAACTCAAAAATAAAATTAATAAAAACTTACACTACAAGATGATGTAGGACATTGAGGATTTTGGATGTTAAAATCAACGTCATTTCCATCTATATAATTACAAACCTAAAAAAAACTTATTTAAAAAAAATTGAAAAAATTATCTAATATAAAAATAAATAAAAGACTATTTAATGAAATTAAAAATTAAAAATTTGCATGTCTGGTCACTGATTACTATATATAAAAATAATTTGTGTTCTAAACTCACCTTTTCAATTAAATAACTCAACAAATTTTTCACCAAGAAAGTCTAAAAAACCAAAAGTGAACAACAAAATTTCTAAAAAATCTAAATTTGAATAATAAAATACAAAACAATGCTTTGCCAACACAAAAAAAGCAAAAAAGTTAAATTTTATCCATTCAAAATTGAGAGTGAAAATTTTTTTCCATTCAAAGTTGATTAATAAACATTTAAAATATTACTTCTGAATCTTCTATACATAAATCAATGTGAATGTTTTTAGGTAGTTCATTCTTAAAAAATAAAAAGAGTTTATTTAAAATAAAAAGAACTTCTAAATTAACAAATAACTTAACAAAAAGTAAAATAAATAAAATATATATAACCATATATATCAATTTCAAAATAATAAAATATTGTCAATGAAAATATAATTTTATTAAAATGAGTTTTAGTTTTGATAGTCAAAGTTTTAAAATTTTAAACATCAAACAATTACACTGTTAAATGTTAAATGTAATGCTTAAAAAATATTTCTAAATAAATAAACAAACCTCTTTTTTATCTTCAATAGTATTGGTATCTAAAAAAGGATTTTAAAAATGTAAATGCTGTCCATAAATAGGGGTCATATACATACACAAGGGTGGCTAGTTATATGCAAAATCAACATTATTATTGATATATATATTATATATATATATATATATATATATATATATATATATATATATATATATATATATATATATATACATATATTATGAGAAAGGGAATTTAATTTGTATAATATTAAAAAAGTTTAAGGGTAAATTTAGCTTTTATACCAGTACTATATTGCACCCATTTGGATAAACGATTTTTTTCTAAAAACCAAATAATAATTTACTATTTACAAACTACTAAATTTTTAATTTAAAACAAAAAATTGAAAAAAACATACTAATTTTTTCCTCCTTTTTTAATTTATTCAATAAAATATTCTCATTTCTGGAAACTAGATTGAAAAACAAAATTTAACAATATAAGTAATTCCATTATTAATCTTTTACAATTTTAATATTTATGTTAATGTAAAATGCTTAAAAAATAGTGATAACAATTAATACAGTAGAATCCTGTTAAGTGGAACTCTCAAGGGGAACATATAAATAGTCTGACTTAGCGATTGTCCGAGATAAGCGAAGCTATCAGTATGTATAAAAAGTTCAAGGTGAATTGAAAACCTTCCTGACTTTGTAAAAGTCTGACTTATACAGGGTCCGAGTAAATGGTATTCTACTGTATAAGGAATCCTTAAGAAAATACTAACCATTATCATTTATGATTGCCATTATATATTCATAACTTAAGAATTAAAACAATTTTTTTTTTCTACATTTACCTTTTATGGTTAATTTACCTTTTATGGTTACAAACCAGAATAAAAACGTTCCTTAATAGAACCTTTTTATAGTTAACTGAAAACAAAGTTTTAAAACATTAAATGTGTTATACCACAATTTACATCACTTTTACAACTGTCTGAATTTTGGCTTTCATTTTCATGGTATCTAAATTATAATTAAATATTTTTGAAAAAATAAAAGCACTAATTAGTCTTGTAAAGTTTAAAATAAATTAGATCAACAATAACCATGACTGGCTTGATCAATAATTTCAACTTAATTATATATAAAAGAATTAAAACTTATTTATTTAATTTTAATAGATTATATTTAAAATAACTTTGACTTAAACTTTGCATTTTACCTTTCTGAAATATATGAATTCAATACAACTTCAGCCTATTATAAAAAAAAAATATTAAATAGTTTTCTAAAAACATTTTAAAAATATATATAAATATAAAACATATCAAGTACTTTAATCCTTGAAATCTTCTCCACTTTGGCGAAGAGATATAGTATTGCCTCTGGAACAAGGACTTTCAACACGTAATCATTATGCTGCAATTACATTATTTTATTGTGTATTAATAGATACATATATATATTTATAAATAAATATATATATACAGGCCTTGGCGGGAACAAATGAGCACGAGAGCCGAGAAAAGCTTTTCTAAAACGAACTTGGGGAGCTGTGCGAGCTGCTCCTCATTTAAATTAGCGCTCTTATTTAATTTTAACTTTTTTTTCTTATTTAATTTTAACTTTTTTTTCGTGCTTTTTAAAAAACATTGCAGTATATTATGCAATTAACTTTTTTTAAAATGACATTGTGTTTTTTGTTTTAGTTTCAACGATAAATATAATTTTATGAGAAAAGTTATACTTTTGCGAGAGCCATAAATTGCTCCTGTAAACTGTAAGCTGTAAATTGCTCCCGTTGCTTCTCGACAAGAAGCGAGAGCTAAAGCTCTTGCTTCTTGTCAAGACCTGTATATATATATATATATATATATATATATATATATATATATATATATATATATATATATATATATATATATAATATTACCCACAGTACCTTGAAGTAAATTAAGTAAAATAGTAGTAAAAGGAAAGTTTCAATAATATAATATAATAAAAATAACAATAATAAAATCATTCTGAACTAAAAAACAAAAAATATTCTAATCTATAAAATTGAAGTTTTTTTAAAAACGATAAAATTCAATTTTTTTTCTGCAATTACTGGATGGTTTTAGCTATCGTCCAAACTTAAATAACAACCTAAATTTCAATATGTTGTTGTAAGAACCATTAAGATTATTTTGTTGGTGTATGACGCTTTCTATAGAACAATTATCTTATCTATCTATCTATATAGATAGATTTATATATATATATATATATATATATATATATATATATATATATATATATATATATATGTATATATATATATATATAATTATATATATATATATATATATATATATATATATATATATATATATATATATATATATATATATATATATATATATATATATATATATATATAATACAGGCCTCGGCGGGAAGCGAGAGCTTTAGCTCTCACTCTTGCCCACACTTTCGTAAAACAGTTTACAGGAGCATTTTATGGCTCTCGCAAAAGTATAATTTTTCTCATGAAGGTATAATTAAAATTACAAAAGAGTGCTAATTTAAATGAGGAGCAGCTCGCACAGCTCCCCAAATTCGTTTTAGGATAGCTTGTTCCCGCCGAGGCCTGTATATATATATATGTGTATATATATATATATATATATATGTATATATATATATATAAATATATATATATATATATATATATATACATATATATATATACATATATATATATATATATATATAATTATTAACCTCCCTAAGGCCAGAGTGGGCCACTAGAGCTGAGAAGGCTACTTATTTTTTTGTATTTTAAATTTTTTGTTGTAAATCGTGGTACAACCTTCTCTTAACTCTTTAACTCCTAAACAAAAACCTTGACAAGCAAGGTTGCAGTGCGGAGAAACTAATATATATATATATATATATATATATATATAAATATATATATATATACATATATATATATATATATATATATATATATATATATATATATATATATATATATATATATATATATATATATATATATATATATATATATATATATATATATATAAGGAAAACGATTAAAACAACTACTTACTTTTAAATTATTATATGATCTAACTAATGCGTTATAAAGAGTATGCACTTGATCATCTGATAGCAAATCAACCAACCAAATGTCACACAAACTTTCTGAAAAACATGTTTATATTTGTTTATATACATGTTTATAAGTCTTTTAAATGTCAAATTAAATGCAAATCTTTTAAATAAACTTCAATTACCAAATGTATAATTTATAATTAAAAATATCTAAACGAAAATTTTAAATCTTTAAAATTTTTAATGTCGAAGATAAAAGGAAAAAAAGAATTATCAATAAAAATTTGTGTTATCTAATAAAAAGCTTTTATAATAAATTATTGTACTTTTTGCATCTCCACCAGTTTTGAAGATATTATGTCTGTAACTGTACAGCTAAATATAATATTTAAAAAAAGTAAACAGAGCGATGCGATAGAAACATAAATTTTGCAAATCTCAAACATTTATATCAATTAAAAGCACTCAAACTTGAAAAGAAAAAAAAAAAAAACTAACTTGACCCAAAAATATTGATTTTAACAACTGGGACGATGCTATTTCCTTAAGATTATCAGTAGAAAATTTTTGAAAAGCTAAAAATAAAAAGGTAAAGAAACAGATAAAATCTTATTCTTAAATTTCCTTATTTTGCAGAGATTCCTATTTAGTAATATTTTTAATTAACAATAAATTGACAATAAACAATATAAAATATGAAATTTAAGTTTAAACCTCTTCCAAAATACTCGTCGTTTGGAACTATGCCACCTGAACAATCTAATTATAATAGTATTTAATATAGTATATTTATAATTATATAATTACAAACTATATTCACAAAATACTCCATTAAATTATGTTAAAAAATTTCCAATCAATAATTTTCAATTACCAAGAGTTTAGTTTGTAACTTTGTAAAATTTCTGTTAAAAATATTTTAAACCTCTTTAGTTGAAAAATCTTACTTTAATTAGAAATGGTAGATTGGTAAAATGAAAACAAGAATAAAAACAAATTTTTGTGGTTTTACAACAAATTATTGTAATAATAATAATATTAAAAAAAAATAATATTACTTGCACAGTCTTTACAAATGCAAAGATCTCCAATTGTTCCCCCAGACTTCAAGCCCTTTCTATTACATAAGACACAACATATATCATCCAACACACCGTCTGACATCTATATCTTTACTTTAAAAAAAATCATATGTAAAATTAATTTCAAATTGTTCCTCAATCAGACAGAAAGCCCTTTATATTGCACAGGACATATTCTAACATCTATTTTTTATATAAAAAAAATATAACATTGCTATAAATTTTATAGAAGAAAGGCTTGCTGTCTTATGACATAAGACAGTAAGCCCCTTGCTAAGACTTACTGTCTTATGTCATAATACAGCAAGTCTTTAATTTAATTTACAACAATTTTATAATAACTCATAACATAATTCATATTCATTCATAAAATAATTCAATTCATAACAATTTTATTTACAATTATTAACAATTCAATTAAAAAGTAACAACCAATTTAATTTGTATGACTACAATTTGAGATTTATTTTATTATAAAACAAATTTTAAATAGTTGCCACATAAGACAGCAAGCCTTTCTATTTCACAGGATATAGTCTGATATCTATATTTCTATTTTTATGCACAAGACACAGTGTAATATCTACAAACAATCAAAATATTTAATATTTAAACCACAAACAATGGCTGCGTGAAATTCTTTACTTCAAAATTAAACGGCTTACGGCAAATTTTAAGATAGAAATGCTACATGTAGCAATTCTATTTTTATGTAACAATTCTATGCCAATGTGTAACAATTCTACGCCAAAAATGTAGCAAATCTATGGAGCGTAACAATTCTATGCCAAAACGTAACAAACCTACGCCAAAATGTAGCGAATCTATCAATATCATCATCATCTGTCTGATCATCATCATCACCATCATCATCATCATCATCATCATCATCATCGTTATCATCATCATTTATCATCATCATATTCTTCATTGTCATCGTCATCATTGTCATCATATTTTTCATTTGTTTCATAATCAACGTCCGTTTCATATTCATCCTCTTCATATTTAGCTTTTTCATCGGTTATATCAACGTTTTTTAAATTAAAGACGGAATTGCCTTCAACAAACATGATTACGTATGAAACGATAAATTTAACATTTTGTTCAGATGGTTTGCCATATTTGTTGATAACATCGTTAACATCTTTTATAATTTTTTCCATTTTTTTTTAATTAATAAATATAAAAAAAAAATTACAAGTTAAAACAATAATCATAAAAAAAATTAATTAATCTCCATGGGTTTCCTCCACACGGTTTTTTATCAATACATTTAATTCAGTAAGAGTGTTTATTAAATTTGAATTAATAAAAAGTCTTTTTGTTTTTTCGTCATTCAACCATCTTTCTAATGCTCGTAATATAAGTTTTGGATTGTATTTTTCTTCGGGATTTACTTGAAAATATAAAGTTAATACGCAGTTTATTTTATCATAACTTTTATTGTAGTCATTATCAATAGCTTGAATGACGTATGTATTCATGTTTAAATAAACAGCAAATTGCGTCCAATAAGCTTCAAGATACTTTGCTAACATATTTCTTATTTCATTTTCCATGGTTTTAATTTATAAAATATAATCTGTAAAAAAAAAATTTTTTTTTTTATAAATATAATTTATAAAAAAAAACTGTAGATTTTGTACGTACTACAAGAAACTCACAACATACGCAAACAGAAAAAATGTTTACGAAAAACTAAAAAAAATATATATAAAGATAACAATTCTAATCGTAAATTGGGACGCGTTAATAAAAAAATAAAACAATAGAAAATATCAAACGAAGCTAACGTTGATCGAAAACACGAAAAAAATACAGCGTCAAATAAAAAGAAAAAAGAAATGAACAAAAAATAAATTTATTTAAATATGTTATATTTTTTTATTTACAATTATTGTATAAGTTAAAAGAAGTTAAATCGTCTTTTAATTTTTGCAAAATAAAATTGGTTTTTCTTTGTCGACTTCTTTTTAATTTACATTTGCTTTTTTTCTAAAAAAAGTTAAAAAAAATTTAAAAAAATATTTTTTTTGTTTCAAAAAAATATTTTTTCGAAAATATGTTATATTTTTTTATTTAAAATTTTTGTATAAGTTAAAAGAAGTTAAATCGTCTTTTAATTTTTGCAAAATAAAATTGGTTTTTCTTTGTCGACTTCTTTTTAGTTTATATTTGCTTTTTTTCTAAAAAAAGTTAAAAAAAATTAAAAAAAAATTTTTTTTTAATGTTTAAAAAAAAATATACTAATATGTTTACGAAACACTAAAAAAATATATAAAGATAACAAATCTAATCGTAAATTGGGACGCGTTAATAAAAAAATAAAACAATAGAAAATATCAAACGAAGCTAACGTTGATCGAAAACACGAAAGAAATACAGCGTTAAATAAAAAGAAAAAAGAAATGAACAAAAAATAAATTTATTTAAATATATTATATTTTTTTATTTACAATTATTGTATAAGTTAAAAGAAGTTAAATCGTCTTTTAATTTTTGCAAAATAAAATTGGTTTTTCTTTGTCGACTTCATTTTAATTTACATTTGCTTTTTTTCTAAAAAAAGTTAAAAAAAATTTTAAAAAATATTTTTTTCAATGTTTAAAAAAAACATTTTTTCGAAAATATGTTATATTTTTTTATTTACAATTATTGTATAAGTTAAAAGAAGTTAAATCGTCTTTTAATTTTTGCAAAATAAAATTGGTTTTTCTTTGTCGACTTCATTTTAATTTACATTTGCTTTTTTTCTAAAAAAAGTTAAAAAAAATTTTAAAAAATATTTTTTTCAATGTTTAAAAAAAACATTTTTTCGAAAATATGTTATATTTTTTTATTTACAATTATTGTATAAGTTAAAAGAAGTTAAATCGTCTTTTAATTTTTGCAAAATAAAATTGGTTTTTCTTTGTCGACTTCATTTTAATTTACATTTGCTTTTTTTCTAAAAAAAATTAAAAAAAATTTTAAAAAATATTTTTTTCAATGTTTAAAAAAAACATTTTTTCGAAAATATGTTATATTTTTTTATGTACAATTATTGTATAAGTTAAAAGAAGTTAAATCGTCTTTTAATTTTTGCAAAATAAAATTGGTTTTTCTTTGTCGACTTCATTTTAATTTACATTTGCTTTTTTTCTAAAAAAAGTTAAAAAAAATTTTAAAAAATATTTTTTTCAATTTTTAAAAAAAACATTTTTTCGAAAAAATGTTATATTTTTTTATGTACAATTATTGTATAAGTTAAAAGAAGTTAAATCGTCTTTTAATTTTTGCAAAATAAAATTGGTTTTTCTTTGTCGACTTCTTTTTAATTTATATTTGCTTTTTTTCTAAAAAAAGTTAAAAAAAATTTTAAAAAATATTTTTTTTAATGTTTAAAAAAAAATAATTTTTTATGTATAGAAATTCTTACCTTTTTTTTATCCACCTAAAAATGCACTGATTCTTTTGGCTCTTCGGCTCTTTCTATCTGTAACGTTGGTTTTTGTGTTTTTTCATTAAGTTTTTTCATAAATTCTTCGACGGTCAAATCTATTTCTTGAAACACTAATTCTTGCTCATCGTCTATAACGATAGTTTCAATAACTTTAACTGCTAATTTTCGTACAAGTTTTGTTATTGCCATTTGAATTCATATTTAAAAAAATGCTGTTTTTATGTCAAATAGTTAATCCCTACAGATTAAAAAAAATTAAATTTTGTGACAAACAAGTTATATTTAAAAACTTTTAATCTTGCTTTTTACATAGGGATTAAGTAGGGAATCTTGCAGACATCACTCTATTTGTAGAATACACTAACATAATATATTTATATTTGTACATATATATATATATATATATATATATATATATATACATACATACATATATAATAAACCATTAAATATTTTTTTTTAAACCATTAAATAGATTTTTTTAAACCATTAAATAAATTTTTCTTCAAGGAAGTGATTTGAACAAACAATAAAGTTTTTAGGGACAACAAAATTTTTTATACCAGTGCTACCATATTATGGTATCCCTGGTATAAAAGATTTTAAGATAACTAAGATATTTAAGATTTTAAGATAATTAAAATAAAAGCATTTAGTAAGTAATATCTAGTATGTAATATAATGCCAAGTCATAGCAAATGTGTAGTTGGTATCTGTTATAATAAAAAATAATACCCGGACATGCACAAGTTACCAACATGTAAAGAAAAAAGAAATGCATGGATACATTTAGGGCAAAAAAAAGAAAAAAAGCAATAAAATATATTAACTAGTTTTATAATGAGATCAAACAATTATCAAGCAAACAAGCAACAAAAAACAATAATATAGTTAATGACCAAAAAATAATTATATCAAAAAGAAGAATAATAAGTATTAAAAAAAGTCAGAATAACAACAATAAAGGTAAAAGTGAATGAGCTGTTTATTTTATTAAGGTGTCAACATGTAAAGAAAGAAGAAATGCATGGATACATTTAATGCAAAAAAAAAAAAAAAGCAATAAAATATATTAACTAGTTTTATAATGAGATCAAAAAATTATCAAGCAAACAAGCAACAAAAAACAATAATATAGTTAGTGACCAAAAAATAATTATATCAAAAAGAAGAATAATAAGTATTAAAAAAAGTCAGAATAACAACAATAAAGGTAAAAGTGAATGAGCTGTTTATTTTATTAAGGTGTCACTCCAATGACTAGTTTTAAACTATACAAATGACACGAAACCTTATTTTGTAAATTATAAATAATAACTAATTAAATTATAACTAATAACTTATTTTTTATAATGAGATCAAACAATTCACTGTAATAAAATGTATGCACTAAAGTGAATTGTTGATTTAAACTTTTCATATGGTATAGTCTGTACCATTTAAATTACTAAAATAGAAACTTTACTTTTCAATATAAACTAAATGTATAATTAAATCAAAAAGTGAAAACTTATTTTATATTATAAAATTTAAAACTATAAAAAAAGGTATATTATCACCTTTTTTTTGTTGTTTTATTTTTTATTTTTTTATTTATTTGAGTTTTCATGCTATATTTTTGTATACAATGTTTTTATATCCGAAGAGATTGTTGGCTTAGCATAGGAACAGCCACAAATAGTCATTAAGATTAATCTTAAGTAGCGTCCGTTATTGACCAACATTTTTGCGTACCGAAGTACTACTACTTAAGCGCTGAGTTGGCGGTGGCAGGATTTGAACTCGTATCGG